GCTGTTTTTGTTCATTTTCACTCTTTATTATTTGACGATGCAGATGTCCAATTAGAAAAATTGTTAGTATCTATTTTTTGTCACTATCGACATCTGTACATGAAACATGGCCAAATGTTTTTATGTTTTTTCTTTCACATTCACAACATGACTATGTCTCTGTCATAAAAAAAAAAACGGTTTGATAGGGATTGAACCGAATCGAACCGGACCGAAAAAATCTTGAACCGAAAAAAATCGAATCGTTTTTTACGTGAAATTTTCGAACCGAACCGAAATCGGTTCGGTCCGGTTCGGTTCAAAATCGAACCGGTCACATCTCTGATACAAATAGCTCAACATCTCTATGAGAAACGAGCTGAAGCTGAAAAAGCAAAACGAACACTGAAAGAATTAAAATATCGTATCTTCTATAATAGACCACTTCTTTCTTTGGATTCTATTGAAAATTCCAAGACCACAGCAAATAATACCAGTACAACAACAACAACAACAATCAACAACAATCATGGTTAAATACATATGAAAAACAAATCGAACGAAAGAAAATGAACTTGATGGCAATGTACATAGCTAAAGCAGAAAGTCAATTCTATCAATGTCAAAAGATATTCGATGATGAATTATCTAAAATATGGCAAAATCATCGAAATTTAGTTAAAAATCAAGGCATGACAACCGCTTTGATCCATCTCATCGAGCGATGTTTAACACTTATAACAGAAAAATTTCGTCAGATTTATAATTATCGATTTGATTATTATCTTCAAAATGACCATCAACAACAACAACAACAAATTGGATTTTCCACATCTCTGATCATCGATACCACTCATAAATTAACGAAGAAAGAAATGCAATTATTAAATCGTGGACCAAGTTATGTTCCACCCTATCAATTATCCATATCTTCTTTTATGACAACCAACGATGAAATAATAAAAAGAAAATATGCACCGTTAAAACATCAGTTAGCCACTCTTTTTTCAAAATATCATATTAATATTGCCATATCAATGGATATTGAACAAAAAATCCATGAACAATTTAAAAATCTATTTTCTATATCTCTACCAAGTACTATACGACAACGAGCTCTCTATGAAAAACAATTAGTTCAATCGATTCATCGGTAATTATCGAAAAATAATCTTATTTTAAGAAGAACTGCTGATCATATGAATAGTTTCTATTTGGGAAATTCACAAAATTTTCAAACAAAAGCCCATCAATATTTATCAAATTCAGATTCTTTTCAATTACTAATGACATTGAATGAAACAAATGATCAAGAACCAGTACATGATAAATTTCATGGTATGATTGAATCCATCAATTTTGCTTTGAAAATATTAAAACATAGAAAAGCAATCGATCCTCATACAATCACTCGATTGTTGGTCGATCCAACTAAAATTCAATTATCTGATATGGATTTTTTATGTGATATTTCTCATGAAAATGAACTACAATTAGTACCTTTGCTTCCACATTTAAATACATTGACATCAAAGATAGGTGAATATTTAAATCGATTACTTCGACCATTTGCTGATCGTATTATGAAAACAACTCAATTTCATCATGATATTGATTTTATTCAAAAATTGAATCATTATGCTTGTACACAACGTCGTTTAACTGCAACCACACTCTTTTGTACTATAAAGATATCGAATTTTTATTATCTAGATTCACATGCAAATATTATTGATTGGATAGGTTATTTTTTACAAGATAATCTCGGTACAAACAAACTGGAGCAAATATCAATTATGACCATTAAAAATCTTCTACAATTATTTCTCTACAATAATATATTTCGTTATCATGAACATATCTATACATTTACAAAAGGGAGTCCAACGACGATGCCTATTACTGATACATTATCCAATATTTATCTATTTCAATGGCAAACAAAATTATTACGTATCATTAAACAAAATGATGGATTCTTTGGTAGATGTAAAGATGAACTATTTTTTACATGGAATAGTTCTTCAAATGAACTTCATGATTTGTTACGAAGTATAAAAATTCAATATCCGAATGTCTATTTTCATACATCGATCGGAAAGAGATAACTGCTGTAAATAACATTTTATTAAATATTTATTTCAAACAGAAATAAAAATAGAGAGATTCAAGCTTTCGTGTCCTTGTCTGAAACACATCATCAGGAATGACGTTATAAAAGATGTCGAGAATAGGAAAGGTGATGTTGCATAATGCTGTCGAAGTAAATTTGGTGATGTTGTGTGACATGATGGCCAAGATGGAATATTATGATTATGTACATTGTATGTTATCGTTTTTGTTATATTAATGTAAATGAGATGAGTTAAAGAAAATTAAAGAAAGTGAATATTAAATAAACAAAAATAATAAATGAATATATGCATGTGTGAATATGTGAAAATAAGGACAAGCACTTTGAATGACATTTCTGACTAATGCGAGTAGTGTCGACCTCGATCTTAAGGCAGAACATCTACCACAATATTAATCAGAATATGCTGAGAGTGTGTTCATTACAGAAGATGTACGGGAAGATAAATGCAGCGCGAGGANATGTACATAAACGATTATGAAAAACCTAACGTCTTTAAAATATGTTTCACTTTTTAAATGATTTTACAGACTAGAATTTCGTTCGGTTGGGATCGGTTCGGTTCGGTCTAAAACTTTTCGATTTCGGTTCGAGTCGGTTTCAAAATTTTCCCAAAAAAGTCGATTCGATTAAAATCGGTTCGTCAATTTTTCGGTTCGATTCGGTTCGGTTCACGAAAAACACGAACCGGTCACATCTCTGATTTGTATCTACAGTAGAATGTACAAAACAAAAATTATGATTTTACTATTTGATAATTCTTACCTGATATTCATTTGGTTTCTGTTGTTTATATTGACGTTCAAGTATTTCCGTATTATAATCATATTTGATTAAAGCTTTTTTAAGATTAACTTTTAATTGAAGAACTTGAGTTCCATATTGTTGAACATAATGCTCTATAGCTATTTCAATGTTTGAGTTCGATTCCATGAAATGATTCTTAGTTTCATGAAGTTTTTTTTTGATAATAGTCCATCTTTTCATCAGTTTCTTTCAAACGTTGACGTACAAGAGCTTCACATGTAGCATGATCATCTTGGTCATGATTGATTTCCGTCGTGATGGTTGTACTAAAGTTGTTCTTCTGTTGTTCTATGAGTGCATTTTTGACTTGTATAGGCCATACTCGTCGATCAACAGGTACTAGTTCGAATTCTAATGAACCTAATTGACCTGTACCCGATAGTAGATAAGTCGTTGAAATTTGTTTTTTCAATTGAAGCATCTTAATATGATGTATATAGATGGCACATTTTTGTAGCTGTGCTATTTCTAGAGAACTACTAGCCGTATCGATGATATTTTGAATCATACGAATAAATAATGGATTTGTTAATAATAAATATTTTGGTATTTCATTTTCATTTTCATTCGCATCTATCTCTTCATATTGATCATTGTTATCATTATGATCATAATTGATTTTAGGTTTTTTTATCATCGTATGTTGATCATCAGTCGTCGTAGATAATCGTGGTCTCTTATTGAATTTTGCCGTTGTTGGCTCGTCATCATCATGATTTGTCGACATTTGACTTAATCTTTGTGAAAGTACTTCTTGTTCTTCTTCTTCTTCTTCTTGTAATGGCTAAAGATATAGAAATAAAAATTTAGATTTCTATCAGGTAAATGTAAAAAACAAATTTCATATCGTTACGAGAACATCATTGAAGTCGTCGATGAGATCATTTTCTATCGTCTCTTCATTGTCTATCCATGGATAGAGATAACTATCTTCTAAATAGTATCGATTTAATTCATCGGTGGTATATTCGAGTTCATCATCATTCTCATCCATAATATCAAAAATAGGATCGGATAATTCGGTATAGATATACTATATACAGAGTAATAGGAAGGAAAAAAATAGCAATGATACAATATCGGCATACTTACATTCCGAGAGTGATTGGTGGTATTCATGATGAACAAATGAATGAAGAAGTTATTGATACAGAATATTGTTTTAATTATATCTAGAATTGAAGATCATCACTCTTTGTGTCATGGCTAGGAAATTCACGGTTTTTTTTGTCTTCTATGTAGATAAAACATTGAATATACAACAGTCAGCTCATGTGTACATGTATATACATTTTTCTATGTTGTGAATGTTGTATTGGGTCGACGAATAAGATTTTGACACCATTCAATAGAAGATTGTGGAAGATTTAATTGAGCCGTATTGGATGACACGAGTTTATCAAGATGACCTTCCGTATTTAATTTTGTTTCAGTATGTGTAATGAGTAATGCTTCGATAAATCGTCTCAATGGAGCGGATGCATTCGTTGGTACTATAGAAAACGGAAGAGAATGAAAATCATTCAAAAATTGAACACTCATTTACATATAGCTACAATAGCTGCTTCGTAAAGATCTAGTTTTTGATTGGGTGAATTGAGATATTTCTTTTCAAGAAAAAAACGATCTATTTCTATCTTTTGTGAATGAGTAAAATGATAATTCGGTGGTGGTGATGGTACATCATTGGCATAGACGAATAGATTTGATTCAACGATAGATCTGTGATAGAATGAATATCATAAAATTAAAATTAAAACAATAAATAGTAGTCGCTATCGAACTCACTTAGGTACTTCAGATAGAGGCTCGTCGTTTTAATCGGCATGATTTTGAATTGGAATAAAGGGCCAATATTCAGGATTTTCATCGAGAAACCATTGGATGGCCATTGAACAATGGGTTGAATGTTGATAGAGTTTCATGCCATCTTTCACTAAAACTCTAATTCAAACATAGGTTTATTATGATGGTTTTTCTTCTTCATTAGTGTGATTACTCGAATGATTTTAATTCTTGTTGAATACGAGATGTTATGGTTGGGCCCAACAAAAATTCTTGTACAATACGATTCCCATGAGTTCGATGATCTGAAAATAACAACAACAAAATGTTATATTGTCATTTATTAATTTTAATTTTATTATTATTATTTACATGCTAGACGATTCTCTAATGATATACTCGTTTCACCAATATAATCTACTTGATGACATGGGCATGTTAAAACATAAATTATATTTCTTGTCGTACATGTGGCTGGACAGTTGAGAATCGATCGATATCCATTTATAAAAAAATGTTGTTGGCTAGGTCCAAATTTAACGATAGTTCTATGATGATGATCAGCCATTTTATAGCTTGGATTACACAAACAACAAGAAATTTGATTACATTTCTCCATTGCATAGCGACCTTGTGGCTCAGTTAGACAGAAAAGACTTTGTAGTACATTGCTTTCTGGAAATGCACCTCGATATGAACAAGTCTTCAAATAAAATGTATCGATATCGATTTGAAGAAAAAATTCGAGTGCAACAGAATATTGATCTTCGAGTAATTTTTCGTGATTGTATTGTGTAGAAAAATGATGGATTCTATGCTTTATCATCATATCAATGATTGACATGACTCGTTGAAAATTATATTCTAAAATTTCTCTATTGATATTCCATCGACGACTTAAGAAAAACATGAGTCGTTCATGATCATTGATAGGTGTCAAAAAGGTGGGCTGATGATAGCCATGTTCTAATCGTCGTTCCATAGCTTGTCTACTCAGTTGAGATATTTGAACATTAGAGAATAGTAAATGAATATTGCTTCTATTATCAGATGTAGGATAAGCTGGTAAAAATGAATATCGTACACTTGAAACTACGGGTCGTTTTAATAGTGATGATCGATAATCCATCACTGTTGTTTGTCAATGAAAGTCAATATTAAATGGTACTCTTGAGTTGTATCTAGAAACTATTCGTTATTTATCAATATTTATATAGAAATAGGTTGATCAAAGATAAATTTAAAACAAAACAAAACAAAACAAAACAAAAAGTAACTAAGGTGTTTGTTTTTAAATTAAAAGATCACTAGTGTTGCTGTTGTTGTTGTTGTTGTTGTAACCAACAGCGTTCAGCATCAATAAATTCATTAGGATTTCCAATACGTTCTTCATTGCTACCGAGGGATGAATTCGACGAACCGGCATCATTTTGTTGTGTACGTCGATAGAAATATTCACCTGGTTTCATACGATAAATAAAAGCTCTTTTCTTCCAATAATCAGCTTCTTCTTGTGCTTCTTTTGTCATTGCTTTAGCTGTTAGAGAACCTTCATCTTTACCAGGATTTAATAAAACAATGGCTGGTTGAACAACATTAATCATGGTACTATGTCGATATTTATCAGTAGCACCAGTAAGTCCATTTTGTGTTAATAAATCTTTTTTTGATGGATAATTCATTTTTTCGAAATTATCCCAACCAATATCATCAAAGACTGAATCTTGAGGGTGTGGGTGTGGGTGTGAGGGTGTGAATAAGCTGCCATGATCTAGATTTCGACGTTGCTAAAGCGTCTCATCAGATGGCTTAATTATAATGAATTATTCTTAAACCAAAATTCAAAACAAATTATTATATCTTCAAGAATTTACAAGATTATTTCTAATAATGTAATAGAAGAATCAATTCCCAAAGCAGTAGTGTGAATAAGCTGCCATGATCTAGATTT